TGAAACTAGTAGGAAGGCAAAGACTAAAAGGAACAACCAATAACTATGTCTCCTTCCTCTGTTATTAACATTAGTTGCACAATATCGCTTTTGTTTTCTGAGATGAGGATTTAGGGCCTGATCTGAGGTAATTTTCCACTCCTTCCCCCCCCCCCCCCCCCAACAAAAAAAAAAAAAAAAAAAAAAACCTTCGAGGATAATAATGTTTTTTTTAACCCCACTTAGAACCACGAGCCACAAATCCAGGACAAATTCTGCAGTCATTTAGGTAAAACTCTGTATTGATTTCAATGGGGACTTCTCTGGAGTAGGACATAAAGTATTAGGGCAGAGGATTACTCAGAAAGAAATTTTTATTAAGCACAGACTACAGTGAAGAATCTGTAAAGATACACGGTTTAGGCAAAAGTCTGCTGATTTCCTTCACACCTATACCTAAATAAAGGCAGCAGGATCAGAGCCCAATGCCGTTACTTACCCATGGGTTATTTCGTTTGGAATTTTATTTTGGTTGTAATCATTTAAAATAAATCAGCAATCTGAACTACCGATATTCCTATAGGGTCTCATCTCTAACTGAATATATATTTAGTACCCGTCGTTTCTTGGGTCGATCTGTTCCTGCACTGTTCAATTTGGCACCCAGCATTATGGACTGTCAGAGTGCAGCCTCCAAGTGCGTTCATCACCAAAGGCCAGCAATTAGCTTAAACGAGGGTAAATGCGAGGAACAGCCTCCACAAAAATACCCTTCAAGGGCTCTGTTTTTTCAGCTCAGAAACCTCCCCCGCCACCACCAGCCGTCAATTTTTGGCCCTTATCTTTCATTGAGAAGCATCCTAATCTTGGAGTGCAAAGTTTGTTCTGAGGCAGTTGTTTTCGCTTCCCTGAACCCCAGTTTTGCTCAGGTTTTGTATGATATTTCATTGGGGGAGTGATCCTTGGGATCTGACTCGCAATGAGGCAGACTTGTCATTGGGCAGAAACTATTCATCAACCCAACTTCGCCATTGGTTCCTGGCATTAAAGATTGGATCAATCAAAAATGGAGGGTGGATATTGTTAGCTCAAAGCAGCCGGTTCTTTTAGCAGTGAGTATTACATTGTCCTTATCTTAGGGCGTCCTATTCGTGTGAACTAGCTTGTGCAGTCGTCTGGGCGTGTGTGAATGAGAATAAAACATTTCAAAAGCCCCGGGAATCCTAATGCTTCAGCAGATGTGGCCGATACAGTTAGCTCCTGTGCAGAAAGGTAGAGACGCTACCTTTGCTATATTCTAAAAAAGTTGGACGTTTCAGTGCAACTTTTCTACGGATAAATTGTTAAAAGAAATGTGGATTCAGCTCTCAGTCCCGGACAAAGCTAACGTTTTGTTGTTGTTGTTGTTGTTGTTAATTCGGACCCTAATTTGTACTAATAGTCCAGACAACCCCACGCGTTGGCTAAAACCAAAATGTGGTCGCTCCCTTGCAGCTTCAGTTGTCTGTTTTATATAAAAATACATCCTCCAGTGGAGGAGATTGTTATTTTGGGGGCATCTCGTATATTTTGTCAAGAGTATAACATTCATTCGGAAGGAAAAGCTCGTTCAATTTATTTTTGCTGCTTGCAATAACACAGCTGGAGGATGCCCCGCGCCCACGCTAGACGGTGGCTCATCATTCATTCGCCAAGAACTGGCTTAAATGGTGCCTGTGGGATTAGGTCAATTTTAGTGGATCTACTTCGCCTCATTTGGTTACTAATTGGTTTCTTGTTTTATAAATCGAAATCTCATTTTCAGGAAATTACAAAACCCGTGCAGCCAGTCCATTGAGGTAATCCATGGTTCAGGGGGTATTTAAATGGAAAAGGTTCTACAATGCATCAAGTATAAAGCGACAGTAAAACTTCGCCTAGATGTTCAAATGAAATGTGAGCTAGTTGGCTCTTTAGATCCATAATAGATACATCCCTTCTAAGGCTACTTATGCAAATATGACTAACCAGACTCGGACTGGCGGAGGGGGCTCAGAGAGAAAAGCAAATTTTTATCTACTAAGGTTAATGTGGCATAACTTGGAAATCTTCCAAAATAGATTATGTTTTTCTTTGTCTTTGGCCACTTCAGCTGGGAAAATCCTTTGCCTAAAAACGATTTAGTTATCCTTTCCCTCACAAAGCCGCTTGTTTCTATTCCAAACCTATTATTCTGTTGGCCTCTCCAAATTACAAGAGAATCTTTAGATCTTGTTTCCAGTGTAATCCTGAAGCAAAAGGAGAGCTGATTTCCTTGTTTTGTTTTAAAGAAGACAATCAAAGGATTTGCGGAATTTTCTGCGGTAGGTCAAGTGCAAGAAATCAGTCTGCTTCCCTCGCTAAAATAAAATTGGATGTTAAAACGAAGAGACAGTCAGATAAAGTTTTAAAGTAACAGTAGTGGAGAGTTTTTTCCGTGTGTAGCCTTTAAAAGCCGAATTTTAAAGGGCACGAGGAGAGCAATTAGATTTGTGTTGCCACTGACTAAAAATAATCTCCAACTGAAAAGGTACTGAAACAACTAGCTATCACAAAGAGCTAGCACATGTGATAGGCTTTCGAAAAGCCGGTTCGGGTAGACAAGTGAAAACATTTAATTATAAAACATTAACAGACATAGCCAGCCAGCGAAGGGTTTCCACCTGAAGCATATAAGGAAGAGTGCAACGCTCCGTGGAAAAAAAAAAAAAGTGTTCCTGAAAAAAGTTAACTTGTAATGTGCAGGAGCTATTCATTAACTCGCAAGGCTCGGGCTATTTTCCCTTTTAGGAGCAGAATAATTAGTTCCGTACACTTGGCTTAATAAACAACTTAAAATCCAGGCGAGGGACACACAAGAGCCTTTATTGAATGTAGGAGTCTGTTTTCCTGCTGCTTCGGGTAGGAAGAAGCAGGAGTGGTTCTTTCCTCCCCTTTTAATGGACTTCATTGTTGGAAACAACCAACCAAGCAAAACGTGTCATTAGCACCAAGTCGTAGAGGACTGTTCGGTCTTGGAGTGGAAAATTGCAAAGGTGGCAGGAGGGGGTTAGACCTGTTTCATTCCCAGTGTAACTGAGTGTCTAGTAGCCTCTTCACGGGCTCAATCACCAAGCGCCTAGAATAGATGCTTTCCAGTAGCTCCCAGCTCCATTGCAGTGAATGGACTTCTGCTACGTTTGGGTACTGGAAAGGCTGGAAGTCCGTAGGTCTGTAGCTCCTGGAGGTCTTCTGGGGAGATGGGCTGATAGCTTTCCGGAGGCAGTGCAACCACGATGGAGGCGCAAAAGAGGCAGGCATCTCTCCCAAACCCTTTACCCCTGGGCTTTGTAAAGTTACGGGGAACCTGTTCTGAGGCAGAAGGCAGTACCCACCCGAGGGACCTGATAGCCGGCTGGCATTTGGCGAGACGAAGGACCTAGGGCTAGAGACAGAGGTATGTGTGCTGGGAGTGGGGGACAGGTCCCTGACTAGGGGTGGGTGGGAAGAGAAGAGCATCAAGGCAGAAAGAAAGCAGAGAGGTTGCAATGGGAAGGGGGTGATGGGGGACGGATGCAATCGGAAAAGGAAGGAGCTGGATTTAAGGGGAGGGGGAAGAAAGAGGGCAGGAGAGAAGTGGTGGGATCTGGCACACTGGAGGAGGGGGCAAAGGGAGGGTGGCGGGGTGTGTGTCCGGGGAGACATCGCCAGCCTCCCGTGGCCAGGTGAGCCCGGGCGATGCTGCGAGCAGAGCAGAAAAGCAGCCTCGGGAGGAGTGTGCTCTGGGGGGAGAAGGGGCTGCCCCCGCCGAGCTCTGCCCCCAGCGCTGGCTCCGCGCGGCCATCAATCACCCTGCGTGTCAAGTTAAGCCTCGGTTAATGGTGTCAGCATAAAAGGCTTTAACTGCCCTGTTTAAACGGCTTCAGCAGCAACGTGCTGAAAAGGCCAGGCCCAGACCCGGCGCATCTGGCTGCGATCCCTCCTGCCTTGCACACAGGGCCTGGTGCCAGGGTCGGGCAGCGGGCAGCCGCCTGGGTCGGGCCCGAGCGGGAGAGCCCGGCCGGTCGCGGGCCAGGGGGTATGGCAGGGGCGGGGAGCGGGTCCCTCTCCGAGGGCTGGGATCCCGGTGCGTTATGAACCCGCAGCTGCGGAGAGACAGTGCGAAGGGCAGGTTAATACGAGGGGACTGTCGTGGCAGCGTCCTGAAAAGAACCTGCTTTTATTTTTTTTAACCGGGGTTAATACAGGGGTGGCTGGAGTCCCATCAGAGACGACTGACAAAACCCACACCTGCCACTGAAGTGGGTGGACACGTCGGGGCGAGGACCCTGCAGAGGGAATTAAATGAGATTCCTTGCCCTAAAGATCTGGGCTGAGATCCCTAACCCCAGCTGGCCAAAGCGATCTGAACGCGCCCTTTGTTGGTCCACCTAGTGTCTTGCCTGATTTCCGAGCCAGTTGTGGACGAGCGGGTCACCGCGGACAATGGGGGAGGCTGTCCCTGCTCGCATGCTGCATCATTCCTGCAGGGTCGCATCCTACCGAGGGTCCCGTCTTCCGGGATCCGTGGGGCTGGGGGCTTGGTCACCCTTCACTCGTGGTGTGCTGGGTCCAGGACCTGCTCAGCACACCCTTGGCCTGATATGTTTGGGCTCCTACTGTCACCTCGCAGGGAGCTCCGGGTTATGGCCATTGCACCGCTTTTTCAAGGAAGCCGCTTGCTAGCAGCCAGGGGACGATCTGGAATAGCTCTTTATTTGGCTTCGTTGCATTCAGCTCAGTTCTTGCAAATGAACTTCACTGCTAATTCCAACAGCAATATTTCTCCCCCGCAGAAATTAGATGGGGCGGCGGGGGGTGTATTTTGTTTTTTACACTGAAATACTTTCTACTCAGCTATGAGCAAGTATTTTGAAATGTTTGAAATTAGAATAAAAAAAACCCTCGCCTCTTCCAACAGGCCTTTTTTAATAAGTGTCTCGACGTCTCACTTTTCTCTCTTTGTGTGTGTCTTAAATAAACAGGACTTGGAGAAGCCTGGGGCCACTCTAGTCGCACCAGCCCTTTGGATAATGTTGGACGGGAGCTGGGATCTCATCTTTTGCAGGTACTGGCCTGGAAAGGGGAGCCATTTGGTATTAATGATTAAAGAAATCATACCCCATTTTGAACTGTAATTATCATCCTGTCTAATTTTTAACTGCTCACGTGATTCATCAAGGGAGAGGCCAAACTTGCTTAAACAGTGCGGCGCATTTTCTTGACTTCTGGGAACTTTCTTTTAATCCGTAGCGACCCTTTGCCTCTTCCGACCCCCACCGGGTTGTCCCGCACGGATCAGCTGCTGGGAAGGATGGAGCCTTCATCCGAAGCAGAGAAAGTCAGGCAGCGAGATGACAAGAGATGGGAACAGAGAGCTCTGCCTGGAGCTCTTTTGGGGGCAAAAGCACCTTTTTTTGGAAAGTCGTGTTAACAAAGTGTGTGTGTGTGAGAGAGAGAGTTTAAAGCTGGTTTGAACAAGGAATGGAAAGTGCATAAAACATAGAGAAAGCCTCGGGGAGGTCAAGACACAGAAAACATGAAAGTCAGCTCCGACTCACTGTTGTCTGAAGGATGAACTAGGGCATATTAGCTCTAAGGATACTAGACGGGCAGATATTTTTGGTACCCTGGGGTCTCCCGGCCCTTAATACTTGGGGCCTATCCCTTTGCCAGTGCATACAAATAACTCCTATCGACGTCTGTTTGGTGAATAGTCCTGTCTGTTTTTACACACTGGTCGCAGTGGAGATCGCTCCTGAGGTTTCTTAGCACTTGTTTAAGTATCCCCGGGGAAAAGGAAAACGGGGACGGGAGCATCCCGGGCGCTGGGGGCTGGGGTTCTTGGTTCCTGGGCGCCTGGGTCTGGCTCGCTGGTAGAGCTCCCTGCCAGACAGATGCCCTGGTTGAAGAGCCCCTTTGAAAGGCAAGGATTTCCGGGCTCGCCACTTATGTCAGGATCACTTGGTCGCACCATCCTCCCAGATCCGGCGGTGAAGGCGTGGGACGGGCAGCTCTCAGATAGTCTGTCTCCTTCCCTTCCAGACTTTGGATGGTTTCATATTTGTGGTGGCCCCCGATGGCAAGATCATGTACATCTCAGAGACGGCCTCCGTTCACCTGGGTTTATCGCAGGTACGGGGACAGGCGACCACCCTGTCGCTGGGGCGTGGGGTCCGAGCAGAAACCCCTTCTGCTCCTTGCATTTCCCCCGGGAGCTGCCCTGCTCCGTGCAGAGCCGCAGAAGCTGGGGCGGTGCAATCGCCGGGGTGTATTTAGAAAGCTGCACAATAGCAGCAGCTGGGCGGCAAAGGAGATGCAGATGAAATCCTCCTCCTCCATCACAGGTAGAGCTGACCGGGAACAGCATTTATGAATACATCCACCCCGCCGACCACGACGAGATGACCGCGGTGCTCACAGCACACCAGCCTTACCACTCCCACTTCGTGCAGGGTAAGGGGCAGCTCTTCTTCCCCCGCCCCCTTCCCCGGCCAGGGGGTGGCTTCGCCTTGGGCGATGGGCTCCCACCAAGCCCCGCTCTCACTCCTGTCTGTGCCTTCCCCACCCCAGAGTACGAGATCGAGCGGTCCTTCTTCCTAAGGATGAAGTGTGTCCTGGCCAAGAGGAACGCCGGCCTGACCTGCGGGGGCTACAAGGTGCGCTGCGCGGGGCTTGCACTTGAAACGAGGGGGCTGGAAGCCCAGGCCAGAGCGTCTGCCCAGCTGGGCTGTTGTAGTTGGCTGGCGACCCGGGCCCAGAGCTCCTCTACTTAGTTTCAGGTTAAGGATCATAAACCACAAACCCAAACTCAGCTCCAAACCTCAGTTTTGCATGCAAGCACCAAGGGTCCCAGGGGCTCTGTGCAAACTGCTGCCTGGACCTGGCCAGACTGTTTTCAGGTCTGTAGAATATCGTGGAAGACTTCCAGAAGGGTTCGTAAAGTTTTGGCAGGGTTATGCAAGGATTTCTGGGTCCTATTCATGGACCTCCTGTGACCTAAGCCTCTTTCTACTTCAGCTTTGTCGTCTGCGAGAATAGGGACCCACCTCATAAAAAAGCACCTTGAGGGCACGTGGATCAGTGCATGTATACCTCTGGCAATCACTCCAAAAAAAGAGCATAACACAACATTATTAAAGTAGAAACGTATCGCTGCATGGCATGACCATAGATCTATAGCCAAAGATATGGTCTAATGCATTGCTATATGAGGTACACATCTTCCACAGCTTTACATTCATTAAAAACATATATTAGTTGTCGTTTTAGCTGTAAAAATCAGTTGTAATTCGCTCGGCCTTTTTCTTTCTGAACGCTTTTTCTCTACACATAGGGAGACAAGGTTCTTTGGGTAAATCTGTTATCTTTTATTAGACCAACTCAAACAGTTGGAAAAAATCTTCTTTGCAAGCTTTCGGGTATAAATCCCCTTCGCCAGACTGAGGAGGCACCTGCAGTTGGTGTGTGCTCTTCCTGGATGGGAGATGTTTTCTCTAGATATAAATTTGTAAGCGGTATTAAAAGCATGGTTAGACCTTGCTACAAAACCCACTTTAGGGGAGTGGAACCATTCCCACTGACTCTCATGGTCTTTGGATCAAGTCCCTAGTGCTGAAGGGTTCTGCAGACCTGTCTCCCAATATGTGTGTAGCTTGTCCCACTTGAGAGCATGCTTTCAATCTTTTTCCCGGGGCTAGACAGGGCCTGAGCATCGTTCCTGTGTGTCCCCGCAGGTTATCCATTGCAGCGGGTACCTGAAGATCCGCCAGTACAGCCTGGACATGTCCCCCTTCGATGGCTGCTACCAGAACGTGGGCCTGGTCGCTGTGGGCCACTCGCTCCCTCCCAGCGCAGTGACGGAAATCAAGCTGCACAGCAATATGTTCATGTTCCGAGCCAGCCTGGATATGAAGCTCATATTCTTAGATTCCAGGTACCTGGAAGGTCTCTTCAGGCCCAAGCTTTCCCCGACAAGCCCCAGTCACACATTAAATGCCTGTTTTCTTTGTCTCTTTCTTCCCCGCCCCCCTCCAGGGTAGCTGAGCTAACAGGTTACGAGCCTCAGGACCTGATCGAGAAGACCCTCTACCACCACGTCCATAGCTGTGATACTTTCCACTTGCGCTGTGCTCATCATCTGTGTAAGGAGCTCCCTTTGCTAACTCACCCCGCGCTGCACCCCAGCCCCTTCGGGGCCTGACGGGGACCTTCTCACTTTGCCTGTAATATGATTTAAATACAGTACTGGGATTTATTCCTTATCCTGAAAAGCCAGTCCAGCCGGAGTGGAGGCAACATCTCCAGCAGGTTGGAATGAACCCATCTTTGCTAGAAGCAAAGAGGCTGTAGGGGAACTGATAGGGTTGGGGGCAGAGAGAGAGGTAGTTAGATGTCTTAAGTCTGAAGTCAGGCAGAAGGCAGGGTAGATATGCACCCTGTTTATTTAGACTAAGGAAAGAAGGAAAGGATAGAGGGAGTAGAAGCGTTCGTGAACTCGAGGAGCACCAGGGAGCCGAGACTTCCCTCGAGACGAACCTCAGACATTCATCTGAGCTGGGATGCCGGCTGGAAGGGATCATTTGTATCCCTGCTCGAAACAAGTCATAGCAGTAGGAAGCCAGACTCTCCTTCACAAGTTTCCATCACGTCTCACAACGATGAGGTGAACGTATTTCCCCCCACTCCAAGGGTTGGTAGAGGGATTTTTAGTTTTCTATCAATTAATATGAGGATAAAATAAATTAAAACGGAGTTAGTTCCTGTACATTATCTTTGACTTCACACACAATGGGAGAAAGACTAGTAAAGCCAAAGAAGTGCATCTATTTATATACTTTATATATACATGATATATACATAATCTAGATTATGCAGATATAATCTGGATGCCCCAAATACCATAATCTTATATAATAAAAAGTATAACACACACGCACACTTTTTTGACTTTGCTAGTCTTTGTTCCATTGTGTGTGAAGTCAAAGATAATGTACAGCAACGAACGCAGGTTTAATTTATTTTATCCTGGCGCGCGTGCACGCACGCACGCACACACACACACACACACGGCTCTAGTGGGTTGAATACAGTATTTTAATCAAGATGTTGCCTCTCTGTCTGCCTATCTATATGTATGTGTGTGTAGGAATGTGTCTACATGTATACACACGTACATATAGATGGGTGGTGTGTGTACGTGTATATATATCTGTCTGTGTATCTATATGCATGTGTTGGGTGTGTATATATCTGTTTATGTATCTACATATAGGTTTTGGGTGTGTACGTGTGTGTGTGTATATATCTATCTATATGTAGGTTGGGGGGTGTGTGGAGATATATATATACATACACAAGCACACAGCACATATCTATATGTGTGTATACATGTAGACACATGCATACACACACATATAAATACAGATAGTTAAATCTTGACGAGACAAATACCATATTCAACCCAGTAGAGCCCTGTGCGCACAGGGTCATGAAGCACAGGGTTTCCTCCTGACCTTCGCAGTCGACCCGACTTGCATGAACGCATTTTCTCAAAAGTAGCAGAGATGGAGCAATTCTTTCCCCACGGCACAGTGCCTGCCCCATCGCTGTCTCCCCGGGGTGCACACCGCCGATATCGATGGCTCGGGATCCGATTTGTCCGAAAACACTGGGACCAGCTCCCTGGAGGAGCTGGGGCAGCCCTTCCCCCGAGCCCCGTCAGGTCGTCTCTAACAAGGGGAGCCCCCCGGCGGGACGGGCACAGCCTTGCCCCCCAGAGCAGCAGCACGGGATGATCGCTTCCCTCTCTCGTTCCTCCCGCAGTGCTGGTGAAAGGGCAAGTGACCACCAAGTATTACCGCTTCCTGGCCAAGCATGGCGGCTGGGTGTGGGTGCAGAGCTACGCCACCATCGTGCACAACAGCAGATCTTCGCGGCCCCACTGCATCGTCAGCGTTAACTACGTCCTCACGTGAGTGATCCCCCAGGCTGCTCTAAAATGCTCGGCTGGGGCATGGCCTCCCCGGCCCCTGGAGTCCAAACCCAGCTCCCCCACTCCCCTAAATCTGCTTAATCCCATGGCCGACCACGGCAGGCGCACCAGGCTGGCTAGGAAACACATTGCACACTTTCATCTAGATGAAGGGTTTCCCGTCTGTCTCTCTCTCTCCCTTTCACTAGGGGAAAGATTTAGAGGTTTGTCACCCACATATTTTGCTCCATCTCTTTTCTTTCTTTTTTTACAGTTTAAATGCACCCAACATTAAATAAAATTTAATGCAGCGTAAAAAAAAAAAAAAAAAAAAAGGTTTCCACGTACGGAGTTATTTATACTTAACAAACAGGACATCTGTTTTTCTTTTCAAAAAGCTGTGGTTTGAAGTTCTTAATTTCATCCAGAGTTTCTATCAAAGCTCTGAGAGAGAGTTCCCCCCCCCGAGAGAGCGATCCTTATATTGAAGCACAAAGAAAGTTTGTGGCCAGAAAGGTCAGTTTAATCTTCACAGCAGAACCAGACCAAACAGCTTCCTCACCAAACAGAAAAGGAGGAGAAAAACAAATATCTCCCCCTAGACCCCCCAAAAAAAGCCTCTTGGTTTTAAGAGTTAACGATGACATCTCGGCTGTTCCCCTAAGCTCATCCCAGGGCATTGCAGGCAAATCAGATAGATATCGCTGTACCTGCTGCTTAAACTGAAACACCTAATGGGGGAGTTTTAATTATCTCCAGCTGGTGATGATTGCCATGATGATTCCTTCCTATGGGAATAATAATGGTTGCTGCTGGCAGTTGCCACTGCATTCAAATCGTATGACCTGCCGCCTTGGCAGCGAGGAAATAAGCCAGGGTTACTGTCAAATGCAGACTACCTAGACATGGGCATGCTTGCATTCCAGTGTGAAGTCCAAGTCCAAAAGTACTAAGTATAACTACGGAAAGGGAAACTCTTCCAGGTCCCACTCTGCTGTGATTCGAGTTTGAAACCCACTTTTATGGGTCTATATAGAGATGGAGGCATGTTTGGGGCACTCTTTTTTAAAGACGGGCTTATGAAAATGAAGTGATCTATTACCGAGGGGAGTCAGAACCTTAACTCTGGCCTTGGGAATGGGCACTTGAGTGCACAAGGGGAGACAGTTGTATAGTGATGACATACCGAGCTAAACATACGAGCCTTGCTACTCTGCAACAACACTGTGGCTTCTGTGCTTGCTTCCACCTGAAGACCCGCCCGCGCCTGGAGGTATCACTTGATCGCTGTTTGAGTGAGCATGGGGTATGTGTGCGATGGACTCCCACGCTTCCAGCTGGCAATTGCGAGAAGTCCTCTTGATTCTCCTCTTTTTACAAACACAACACAACCAAGTAGGAGTCAACACTGGCATTTACCCAGCAGCAGCACCGCTCTGGATTAGCAGGGGATTGACACATCACTCCTATTTCAGCTATTCCATACATGCGCATCTCAGCGCTCAGCAAAGTCCCTCTCCACGCTTGCATTCGACAATTTTCGAGTTTCAATTCAATCCAAGCTCGGAGGTAAACTACATTCTCTCGACAAAAGCACCAGTGCAACGTGACTTGTAAGCAGCAAAAAATGTCTGTAGATCTCTCTTTTTTTTTTAATGAGGAGGGGAGAAAAACACCAGGCTAAGGTGCTTTTGTACATCAGACTTCACAAGCTCAAGGTTTGTTTTCATACGACTGCCTGTGGGTTAGCAGTCATTTTTTAATCCAAAACCAGTGCAGAGCCACGCAAACCTATGTTAAATGACATGACTGGAAATTAAACATCCCACTGGAGAAGCCCAAGTTCTGCTCTGGGTTATTTTGAAACGGGCTGTTTTGTTTGCCAGTGAAACCCCCTCGCAACCTTTCTGCTCTTTTCCTATTGATTCTGTCATCTGTCGACTCTGGGTAATAATTCTTAGAAACCATAACAGAAAAAAGGGGCAGTGATTGTGCATGGGACGAAAGGATTTAAACATCAGCGGAGTGAGTTGTTTTGCTGGGGTGGAGGTGGGGGAGGAATTGTCCCCCTTCCCAGAAAGATATCATCTCCATCTCACCAGGCTTTCAGGCATTATTCAGACAAAACGGCACATGGCCACCTTTTCAACCTGGTTTATTCGGGGAATAAAAGACCATCAAGTGGTACTGTTGACAGGCTTCTCACAAGGGACAGGTGGCCACAAACCGGACAGATGTGTATTGGGTTTCCCTGGCAGCAGAGCGGTCTGCCAGCTCTTTCTTTTGGAGGGGACAGAGGGACAAGTCTGTCTGTATATCTGCATATGTATATATGCCATGGATTTATGTGTGTATCGGTGCAAGAGGCAAGGGTTCCTTAGGGTAGTATCATTTATTGGACCGACTGTACAGTTGGGGCAGAGTTAGACAAGTTTTAGGGAATGCAAGACGTTTTTCTTTGGGTCTGACTAGAATATAGAATCCCAGAATCATAGAAAATGAGGGTTAGAAGGGACCTTAGGAGATCATTTAGTCCTACCACCCTGCTCAAAGCAGGACATCGCCAACTACATCATGCCAGCCAAGGCTTTGTCTTAAAAACCTCTAAGGAGAGAAATCCCACAACCTCTCTCTTCAGAGGATTTAATATGTGTATATGTATGTGTACATGCATGTGTACAACATATCTATGTGTATGTGTGCAAATATGACATCTGAACACACACATATCTGCATATGTGTGTGGGGTATATACATACCAATGGATATATGCACATATATATATATATATATATATATATATACACACACATACAGCTGTTTACATATCCATGCCTCTCTCTCGTAGTTATAAAAATTGTCATAACTTTATTTCGTTTCATTTGATTTCCTGCATTCTTACATGAGCTGTCTTTTCATTTTCTCACAGAAATATAGATTGTAAACATATGTCTATATTTTTTTACCTAAGATGTCTTTTATTGGGAAAGGTATTATTCTTTAATCTCAACTGTTTCCTTAATGGAATGGTTCATACTACATAGCAACTTGCGAAGGTATTGAACTGGTTAAGAATAGTCCCTTTACTTTTTAATTGATTGTTTAGAGTGCAAACATAGAAAGAAACAAGGAGATTCTGTCAAAGGCAGATATGAAATGCTGTGATGTCTGTTATTGGCTACTGCAACAGTGATGTGCTGTTGAAGCCTGCAGTGCAGAATACAAAGACACTCTGACTACATTACAGTCTTGTTTTGGTATGTTTAGGTCCCCGAGGTTCAATCAGGTCTGACTATCTCTTCATTAGTGCTCAGGAGAACAAGAGATCATGTAATATTTTTCTGCACTGAAGTTCCCACACTGGTAATAACTGCAATAGATCTCCAAGACACGCGTGGCACTTATTGCCTTTTTTAGCCTGCTGATAGCCTGCAGTTTGGAAAACAAGGACAGACTGCATTCTGTTTCATCATACTTTCCAGGTAGATACGTGGAAGTTTTAAAAAAATGAGTTATAGCCAACATCTGGAACTGCAGATAACGATGTGACCATTAGCCACAAGAGGAAGAAAGCTGTTTTGGAAGAAAGTTCCCTGTTAGGAGAGCCAGCAATTTTGTTAAATTCACCTTAGGAAGGGTATGGTAAACTGTCCTGATTAACTATTCAAAGTTACTGAAGCCAGCCAGCATTTGATCACTCGAATGTGCAACATAGGGACTGCTAAGGTAGGAGGGGGAGAAAGAGAGTCTGGAGGATACAAGGTTCCCTTTGACTTCAGTAGATCTTGGATCTGACCCATGTTATGGAACTTGTTCCAGGAAGGCAGAACAAAGGTTCTGCTGCACTCAAGGTTTGCAATGTTTAATATTCTTTCTTCTAATATAAATTCTGTAGCTACTAAAGTTCCTTTAGGATGACATTGGATTATTCCACTAAACCAAGAACAGCTGTGACGTATGCCTGTATGCTGTGGGTTCTTTTCATACTTTTGTTCTATGGCAGTTGATATATGGAAAAGCCACTTGTACAGATGCAGCTCTTGGCAGATGCAGGCACACAAGTTACAGCCTAGAAAGGTTATAAAATCACTTAAAAGAAATCTGCTTAAGAGGAAAAATGCACATTTCTTGACTTGTTCTTTGCAAATGACATGTATGTTTAACTAAAATATACTGAGGAATGCCAACTGGTTGATTTTGTTCTTGGAAATAATAAAGAGCCTTGGTTTGGACTGCAGAATGAGATGTTAATTTGAAATATAGAGGTTATTTTGAAAATGAGCTAGCCTCTCTTTATCATTATATTTTGATGAAAAGTAATAAAAAAGCAGAAAATAGTTTTATGGAAATATATTTTTTTGCGATTTTCAATACTTATAAATGCTGTCACTTTTTGTGATACTAAGTGTTATTCCAGATTGGTCTCACTGGTTTTAGTGGAAATGCTTGTAAAGAAGGCAGCTGGTCAGTGTGAGTAAAGTATGACAGGATGGCCCTTGTAAAAAAAAATATGAGTCATTGTACTACACTAGTGTTATCCTTGTCAAAACAACTAGTTTCAGTGTAACTAAAGGCAGGAAAAAAGTAAAACATTTGTATAACTAATTTGTATCTCCTCAAGCTAAATGTCTCTTGGTCATATAAGACTGAAAGAAGAAAGAGAGAGAAGCAGGGTTTATGAAGAAAAAATTGTTCTTTTAAAAAAATAACCTTACAGAAATTCCCATGGCCCATAAATCTCTGGCTTTGAAAAATTGAATTCTAAGACTAAGAACAAATGTTCTTAATAAGTGAAAGTACCAAACTATTTGCAGAGGATACCAGAGTTGGGATCATTTATACAAGACAGAAGAATTTATTTTTATTGATAATGTATCCAAAATAAAAATATGGCTCTTGAGGTTTCTTGTTTTAACATACAGAAAATTGCTATGCTTTTGTATTTCGATTACAATAAGTAAGCTTTGATAGACATATTTGTTTCTTTTTTTATTAGTTCT